TCCAACTTCTGGAATACTGGGTTGAGCTGAGGCTTGTGTTAGATCAGACAGGGGCTTTTCCAGGCAAAGCCAGGACAGCAGGCTGGCCGACAGGAATCTTCCACCTTTGCTAAGGTGCCCCAGGAGGTGGAATGGGAGCGAAGCAACCTGACCCTCAGGGACTAGATGGCGGAGCCGCCAGTCTGACAGCGGCAGTTGGCTTTGATTCCAGATCGCCTTTTTTTTTTTTTTTTACCATGGTAATATTTTATTTTTATATTTATTTTTAAATTTTTTTCATCTTTATTGGAGTACAATTGCTTTACAATGGTGTGTTAGTTTCTGCTTTATAACAAAGTGAATCAGTTATACATATACATATGTTCCCATATCTCTTCCCTCTTGCGTCTCCCTCCCTCCTACCCTCCCTATCCCACCCCTCTAGGTGGTCACAAGGCACCGAGCTGATCTCCTGTGCTATGTGGCTGCTTCCCACTAGCTATCTACCTTACGTTTGGTAGTGTATATATGTCCATGACTCTCTCTCAGTTTGTCACAGCTTACCCTTCCCCCTCCCCATATCCTCAAGTCCATTCTCTAGTAGGTCTGTGTCTTTATTCCCGTCTTACCCCTAGGTTCTTCATGACATTTTTTTCCCCTTAGATTCCATATATATGTGTTAGCATACGGTATTTGTTTTTCTCTTTCTGACTTACTTCACTCTGTATGACAGACTCTGGGTCCATCCACCTCACTACAAATAGCTCAATTTCGTTTCTCTTTATGGCTGAGTAATATTCCATTGTATATATGTGCCACATCTTCTTTATCCATTCATCCGATGAAGGACACTTAGGTTGGTTCCATCTCCTGGCTATTGTAAATAGAGCTGCAATGAACATTTTGGTACATGACTCTTTTTGAATTATGGTTTTCTCAGGGTATATGCCCAGTAGTGGGATTGCTAGGTCATATGGTAGTTCTATTTGTAGTTTTTTAAGGGACCTCCATACTGTTCTCCACAGTGGCTGTATCAATTTACATTCCCACCAATAGTGCAACAGTGTTCCTTTTCTCCCCACCCCCTCCAGCATTTACTGTTTCTAGATTTTTTGATGATGGCCATTCTGACCGGTGTGAGATGATATCTCATTGTAGTTTTGATTTGCATTTCTCTAATGATTAGTGATGTTGAGCATTCTTTCATGTGTTTGTTGGCAGTCTGTATATCTTCTTTGGAGAAATGTCTATTTAGGTCTTCTGCCCATTTTTGGATTGGGTTGTTTGTTTTTTTGTTATTGAGCTGCATGAGCTGCTTGTAAATTTTGGAGATTAATCCTTTGTCAGTTGCTTCATTTGCAAATATTTTCTGCCATTCTGTAGGTTGTCTTTTTGTTTTGTTTATGGTTTCCTTTGCTGTGCAAAAGCTTTGAAGTTTCATTAGGTCCCATTTGTTCATTTTTGTTTTTATTTCCATTTCTCTAGGAGGTGGGTCAAAAAGGATCTTGCTGTGGTTTATGTCATAGAGTGTTCTGCCTATGTTTTCCTCTATGAGTTTGATAGTGTCTGGCCTTACATTTAGGTCTTTAATCCATTTTGAGTTTATTTTTGTGTATGGTGTTAGGAAGTGTTCTAATTTCATTCTTTTACATGTACCTGTCCAGTTTTCCCAGCAGCACTTATTGAAGAGGCTGTCCTTTCTCCACTGTACATTCCTGCCTCCTTTATCAAAGATAAGGTGTCCATATGTGCGTGGGTTTATCTCTGGGCTTTCTATCCTGTTCCATTGATCTATATTTCTGTTTTTGTGCCAGTACCATACTATCGCCTTTTTACTTCGCGTTGCCATTGCTCTCCCTGCAACCTGCCCTCCCTTCCCTGCCTGTGTGGTGGAGGATGCGTGGCTTCGATGCCTATCTGGGGGTTTACTAAAGAGGCCAGAGCTGGGGATGGCAGGAGGAGAAGGAAGGGAGAAGGTGAAGCTTCTCCGCTGCCCAGGAGCAGATGCTCAGAGAGAGCAAGTGCTGGGCTTGGGCTGGCCGGCTGGCCTTTGGGACCACCGTGGTCCCTTCAGTGCGGCCTCTCTCAGCTTCATCCGTGTTCCAGGAGGGTGGCTGAGAGTAGGAGCTCCTTCCACCCAGCCCAGCCTCCCGTCTCGGTTTTGATCTCCGGAAGGGAAAGCCCCAGCCCCTCTTTTGAAGCGGCAGCCAGCACCGCTCGTCTCTTCTCTCCTTCCCGCAGGCATTTCTGTTCACAGTGCTGCCTCTTGCTGGCTCCTTCTGCTCCGGCTTGGTCCTCCTGCTGATTGGGAAGAAAGTGCACCAGTGGGGTGATGGGGGGGTCTGGAACTCTTAAAGGCACAGCTTTCTTTCTATTGGAAATTTATTTACCTAGCACAGATTTTTTTTCTGTCTTCCCCCAATCAATATAATCTGGGGAGAAAAGTGAATCCGATACAAAGTGACCATAATCACCATTTAAATGTTAATTGTAGATGTCCTGGTTTTCCTCTAAAGGTTTTCAAGCAGGTCAAGCACTAGCCCAGGCGACAATCCTTATTAGCAATCAAACCCAATTTGAGGATCATTTACTGAGGGAAATTAATGTTGGGGGCCACAGATTTGAGCAGGGCAGTCCCTGCCGCCTCAAGGGCTCAGAGTCTAGGGCTGAAGACTTGGAACTGCACGAGTAAAAAAGGCACAGAGATAATTTGAAGATCCCTGGCACCATTTTTGCCAATAGCTCTTCTGCCCTGGAGTCTTTGACCAGAGGAGTTTACAAGCAGCCAAACAGACAAGGCAATTTGAAATGTAGTCTTCCCTTGTCTGCCCATTGGCTGGTCTGCAGTCAGTTAGCTTAGTGTTTGTTAAGAACTTGGCACTCTGCAAGATAAATAAAGCAAAGCCTCATGGGATGCCACAGTTGCAGAATCTTAGTGTCTTGTTTCTGTATGTTAGTGACATGCTTTTCTTCCCATATAAAGAATATGAAAGAGACCAAACTCTGGGCCCCTTCAAGCTCAGATTCTGAAGCCCTCCACCTCTTGGAGCTGCAGCACCTTCTACTGGGTTCAGCTCTACCTAAATGGGCTTCCCAGATTCTCAGTTCCAATGTCAGTTCCCCCGTTAGGAGAAATGTCAGCTCCTGGGCAAATTACCTGGTCTCAGTGCCTCAGTTTCTTCTGGAAAAACAAAGTAAAGAAAATCTATTTGGGTGATTTTGAGAATATGAGATAATATTAGAGAAGCAGATTCAAAGAGAAAGGACAACACCAGAGTAGCAAGAACCACATGGCACCGCGATCAAGCCTCTTTTACAAAATGAGCCTCAGAAGAGACTTACTCGCTCAGTCACACAGAGAACCAATGACAGTATCGGACACAGTCAGAACCCAGCTCTGTCAGTGCTCAGTCTACCGCTCTTTCTAAGAGGGTCCTCACCTTAGGCTCTCAACAATGCACCAATACTATTTTGCTTGCACGATGACATGAAGAAGGCAAAGAAGAGGTCGGGGACTCCAGGGTATTCCTGTTCCTGAAGTGTCAGACCCCGGCCCCGCCCCTTCCAACACCGCTTTCTGGCGTCAGAGGCCAGGAAGCCTTTCCCCAAGGGCATTGGCTAAAGGGATCCACCCGATCCTGGACCACCAGTGGAGGCTGAAGGGAGGGAGGAAGCTGCACGTGGAGAGAGATTCTCCGGCCAGAAGGGAGACAGGCAGCCAGAGGGTGGGGTGATAGTGGGACACACTCAGAGGATTTCCCATTTCCCAGAGGAGGAAACTGCAGAAGCCCTCTGCCCAAGGCACGCGGTGGTTGTGCGGAGAAGGTGGTAGTGCAACCCAGTTGCCCAGCGTCCTAATCCGGAACCCAAGGACCACACAGTGTGGTCCTCGTGCCTACCCTTGCAGCCTACAGAATCCAGGGCCCAGAGCTTGCGGACCTACTAGGTGCGCAACGCGCCCTGCAGCCTGGCAAGGCACTGCGGCATGCCTGACCGGCCCGGGTGCGGACGCTCGGCGCCGCGGGGACGGTGAAGGTGACCGCCTTCTCCTTCCTGGCCCCGAGTGCTCTGCGCTGCGGGGCCGAGGGATGCTCGGGCCCACCAAAGTTTGCTCCAGTACTCGGGGGCCCGAGGAGCGTCCCCGGGCAGGGACTGCGCGCGCCGCAGCGGGGGTCGACCCCCATCCCCGAGGCAGTTTGTGCGCTCTTTTCTGGTTCCGAAGCGTAACTCCCAGTTGTGGGAGGAGGTAGGGGTTCCGAGAGAGGGTCTCCTTCCCGAAGCCTGCCTCCTGGCCCCGCCGGCCACCCTCCCGCATCCCTGCAACTGCCCCTCCGGGCGGGACCCGGGCCCGGCTCCCCAGTTCTGCGGCCGCTCCCACCAGCTGATTTTGACAGAGGGGGGTCCCGGGCGGCGCGCGCGGGCGGAGCGAGCCCCTGCCAGATCCGGGGATGATAATGTGCCGGCTCCATGTCGCGGCTTCGGGCTGTCCAGGCTCCGCCCCCTGTGAGTGTGTAAGTGTGTGATGCTGCCGCGGCCGCCGCCGCCGCCTGTGCAGCCGCC